CGTAGGAAACCATGTAAGGTTTGATCATCCCAGAAGAGAAAAAGAGAAGAAATATGAGCGGGTAAGGAGTCCGTTCTCCTGAGCAATCTCAAAAAGTCAAACATAAAAATATGTTGTCCAAGATTCACGAGCCACAGTGGGTGCAGTCTCCATTCCATCAACATCATTTCCCACTATTACAATTTAAACTGAAACAGCCAGATGACTAAAGCTAAAAGGCAGTAGAAGTGAGTCAAAAATATTAAAAATATAGTTTAACACTGCCCTTGATTAATGACTCAGACGCCCCCAGGGAGTCCAAAACATAACCTCATTAACGTTTTTAAGTCTGTAACCTATGTCAAGTAACCTAATTCTTGAATTTTTTTTCACCTAAAATTACTCTCAGGTAAAATTTAAGATGGCTGATCTTAAAGGAAAATTAAATGTTAATGTATCTAATATACTTAATACTTCACACAAGTTACTTCAGATAGAGCCATAATTAAATTTTTTCTTATTTAAAGTTAGCTAAGAGAATGGTTGCTTCGGAGGAGCAACAATTTTCAAACTAAGTTTTTCTCAACGACTCTGTAATTAGATAGTACCTTTTTGTCCAAAGCCTTTTAGCTCATTAAAGATTCCATTTTACTTTACCTAAATAAATATTTAAATATTCAAAGCAACCACAAATGGCTTTCAAAGTCTTTTAAGAATAACTTAGGCCAGGTTATAAATACTAAAATTCAACTGAAAGGTGACCTCAAGAGAATGAAAGTTCTCCACTGGACAAGAACTTCTCCAGTTATAAACAGATAAACTAGATAAACAACAGATAACGAGCTCAATTTAAATATAGGAAAATATTCAAAAGCCTTCAAAAGCAATTTCCTAGTCTATCCTCAACTCCACATACACAGATAAACAAAAAGATACACAGCAATAAATTTAAGAGTAAGTTACATGTAACATTATAAAAACGAATGTGGTGGAAAACACACCCTCAAAGGATCTCATATAAAACAAACGTAACTCTCTTCTTATGGAAAAGAATTACTACCAAAACATGCCACTTTCCTGTTGGGTGTCCTACATTCCACTGCAGCACAGGGGTAACTTCTAGGAATCTCCTCCAGCTTGGTGCAAACCTGCGCTACGTGTGAAGTCCTGATAATGTTCCGGTGATGAGTGAGACCACCTTATAACAAGGCCCTTTTGTTCATCAGTAACTAAACTTCCTTGCAAAAGTTCAAGTGGACTCACTATATAGTAAATTTTGTTCTATGGCAAATGAATATCAACACAGACGTTTGCCATGTTCTTAGGCTTAACATAAGCTCAACTTGCTATAAAATAAGCAATTAGACATCTTTATAATATCTTTATAATATCTTTGTAAAGACTGTTATATCTTTATAACAATCAGGCATCTTCCTTCTAGGACACCTGCATACCAGCTTCGTATTCAAGAACAGGTTGGATGCTCTGTATGGCTTCCTCATTTAATTAGTTACTTTTACAAGCATATTCACAGAGGTATATATGTATTTATACTGTGCATATAGAAATAAAGCAAATAAGTTCAGAATGAAGCAACAATTCCTGCTTTTCATAAGGAACGAAACAAAAAGATTAAAATGAGCACACCAGAAATTTGCGATTTACCAGAAAGATAATTTGTCACCTTTATACTGATAAGTTTTTTTTAAAAACCTATATATCACCCACTTAGAACATTTTAGACACATGTGAAGAGACAATCAAGGGGAATCAAAGATTTAAATGTCATGACTAGGACACCTAAAACCCTTCCCATGGACACTTATCGTGATCAACAATTCAGTCATGAGAAAAAGAAAGGATGCAGAACTCTTTCCATACGAAATATGTCCAGTACTGCTTATTTAACATATCCCTTGCTTTATATATATTTCCTTCAATGTAATTGGTTGGTTATAAGGGCATTTATCATTCTCATGTTAAGAAAATATTCTCATTCCAAGTGTGATTACCATTTACTGCTTTTGTAAAATAACAGTATTTTACAAATTACATGAGCCACAGGAGAAAATGATATAGCTGTTGCTCCCACATGAAAAAAAAAATCACCTATTTTCTAGGCCATAAGCTTTTAAAGGCTTGTCATCCGGTTGGGATATTATCTTCAGATACTACAAATGCTATTGTATTATGATATGGTTTTCTTTACGAGGCAAAAATCCATCAGAAATCCACTTGAATTACAGAAAAACTTCAATTAAACGTAAAGGAACATCTCACCAGGAATGCTACCAGTTTTGCATATCTCAATGTGTGAGTAATTTCTTCATTCAAACCGACTAAACTGCTACTGGGACACAGGCTGGACCAAAAACATATTAAGTTAGAAAGAATGGCTACAGATTAATGAAATTACAAGTGTGATTATTTTTCCACCACCACATACAACCTAGGTGGGGAAGTAATTTAGTACTTTAGTAAATCTGGGGAAGATTTAACTCTCCTTTTAAGACCTTTAACCTAGAAATGAAAAAAAAATGAGGAAGATTTTCGATCACCCTCAAGTCGTACTGTGATTCCTATATATCCCTATTGCAAGTCACATCGCAATGTGCAGTTCTGGCTATAAAGGCTAGAAGTAAGAAACTGAGAGAAAGAAATAGGCAAAACCACTTTTGACGCAAGACAAACTTACAGAGGAAACTGAAATAAAGCCAAAAAGCGCTGAGGAAAAGTATCGCTAAAGAGGACCGCAGCTGCTGGGTTCCATCGAGGACTAAGTGGGCAAACGAGTAGCACCAGCTGATGCGGAGCGAGCTCCCGGGCTGGAAGGGCAGGCCGCCGACAGTGAGACGGAGGGCGGGTGTTCCAGCGCATTTCTCAAGGTCATTTTCCTCTGTAGGTATCACGTGCACGTGATGTTTACCTGAAATCCCAAACTGCCTCAAACCCAACAAACCGGTGAACAGACGTCCGAAGGCAGCACTTCACTGTTAAAGACACCACTGCTTCTTTCAGGAGTGCCTGCTCCCTGTGCTTCCTGGTGGCCCTGCCACCTCTCCCAGCTTGCTTCCCAACCTCGGAGCCCCCAAGAATGACAAAAGCTCGCGGATTTTAAAACTGCTCAATTTAGTATCACACAGATCGTACTTGAAAGCTGTAGAGAAGTAACAGAATCCCGAGGACCCGCGCTGACTCTCGGGGTGGCCAAACATTTATCGGGACCTGGAAGTGCTTATTCCGCACGCGTCAAAGTGCAGGTGATCTCCTTACCTGCATAGAAGCGGATGAGGCAGCCGATCTCCGAGTCCATGCCTTCCTCCTGCACCCTCCACAACTCCCCAAAGCCCAGGTGGAAGAGGTAGTCATTTTGGATCTGCAACGGCTTCTCGTCCGCCTCCAGGCGCCGGGTGGTCTCTCCGTGGAGCTGCACGTACAGGGTGGGCGGTGGAGGCGCCTGCTCCGCGGTCGCCCCGTTCCCATCCTGGGTCGACGGGGGGCGGCCGAGGGCCGCTGCTGCCGCCGCCTTCTCCTCCCGAGGCTGATCGCGGGCGGCGCCGCCTGGGCCCTCGACGCCCCTCAGGGATTTCGGCTGCGGCGGAGGCGGGGAGGCCGTCGGGGATGACGGCCGGGCGCCCGCTCCAAGCCGGGGCAGGCGGGGCTGTCCCGGAGCCCCCGTCGGGGGCCGGGCCGGGGCCAGGTCAGCCTCCAGCTCCTCGGACGACGACGAGCAGCCGCCGCCGCTGCTGTAGGGGTCCAACCGGTCCGACACGCTCTCGGCGCTAGGGCTCAGGCTGAAGCTCTCGGTGTCGGAGGCTGGGCCCGCGGCCGCACCGTCCAGGAGCCGCGGGGCGCCCGGTTCGCCCAGGCTGGAGTCTGAGGGCGCGGGGCTGGCGCGGGAGGCGCGGAGCGCCCACCCGTCCGGGGCGCCGGGCAGCGGCAGGTCGGCGGGAGGAGGGCGCTGCGGCCCCCCGACGGCGGCCAGTCCGCTCCTCCCGGGTGGCGGCTCCGAGTCCCGCGGCTCGGCGGGCGGGAGCCGGGGACCGGCGTCGGGGTGCCCCTTGCCCAGCACCTTTACCACGCCGCCGCCCTTGTAGCCCACCTGCAGCAGGCGGGCGGCCACCTCGCCCGCCGTGGTGTCCAGCGTGCACAGCACCGGGCGCAGGTAGGTCGAGGCCATGTGGCGGTCGAAGACGTGCACGCAGCCCCGCTCGAGCTGGTGCCGCACCCAGTCCCGGTCCGACGGCTGCAGCTGGAGCATCTGCCGGTGCTTCAGGAGCAGCGTCTTCCTGTCCAGGCTCCGGGTGCACAGCGAAGCCGAGGCCGAGCAGGAGGCGGTGAGGCCGGTGGCGCCGGGGGAGTGCGAGGCGTCAGCGGCGGACGACGACGAGGACGAGGACGACGAGGCGGCGGCGGTGGCGGCCGCGGACAGATTCCTCTTCAGCCGCCCTCTCCTCAGCAGCAGGGAGTTGGCGCAACCGCTGGCCCCGGGCACCGGGGCAGCCCCGCCAGCGGTGGGCTGGGGGGCGCCGCGCCTCCTCCTGCGACCCGTGCCTCCCGGCCGACCCGGCAACAACCCCAGCTGCGCCTCGCCGGGGGCCTCTTCCCGCGCCCCGCCGCTGGGGGCCGCCGGGGTCAGCGCGGGCTCCGGGCTCCGGCCGCCCCCGACTGCCGCCGCCAGAGCCGCCGCGGCCGCGGCCGCCGCTGCAGCCGCCGCCGGAGCCGGAGCTCGGTCCTCCCTGCTGGTCTCTGGGAGTCGCTGCGCCGTAGTCGCGGCGGCGGGCTCCATTGCAGTGGGGCTTCGCGCTTCCCCCCCAGCTCCGGAGACAGCGGGCAGAGAGAGAGGCGAAGGTGGGAGACGGCGGCGGCGCGGGGAGAAGGGAGAAGCCAATGGCGTTCGGCACGGCCGTTCCAAGGGATTATGTGGCAAGTCGGAGCATTCCGTCGGTGTCTCGGTGTTCCATCCCGTGCGCCCGCCCGCTTGGCCGCCACCGCCCCCCCCCCCCCCAAACACACACACACACGCCCTCCCCGCCTGGGTCGCGGGCGCCGAGCGCAGGCCCCGCCCACTCCCCCGCCTCACCCCGGCGAACCCGCCGCGTAGCTGGGCTCATTGAATATTAATCACGCGCCGGCAGCGGGAAGGCGGGAGACAGGCAGGGCGGGAGCTCCTCGGCGGGCCTCATGAATATGCATCACCTGCATGACGGCATTCCAGGCGGAAGAGGGGAGAGCAGGAGGGCGGCGGTGAGGCGGGGCTTCAGGGTAAACAAACGGGACGGCGTACGAGGGCGGGGCTGGGGGGGGGCAGTTTCCCAGGAGGTTCCGGCGCGAGCCTCAGAGAGGGGGAGGCAGAGACGACAGATGCGCGCGGTGCACCTTGGGAGTTGTAGTTCCAATGCGCGGACGGGCATGTCCGAAGGAAACGTGGTGAACTACAAGCCCCAGAGATCCTTAAACTATGCCCCTCCTTTCAGCCAGCCGTGTGCCCTGAACAGTGGGTATTCTGCCCTCTGCTGTTGAACTCCGTGCCCGGGAATGTTCTTGTTCATTAACTTGTACTTAGCCCGCACACTCCCGCTTCCCAGAAGACTTTCGTTTTCCCGGCTAATTGAAAGAGAGGGCTTTGAAGGGACTCTAAACGGTACAAAGGTCCCCAGCCTTTGGTCTTCACCTCCACCACCCATTGAACGTGCTTAGTGGAAATCGTGCAGCCCCGACCCGATCCTCCAGTTCCTACATCTGAGAAGGAAAAAGGCAAAGGGCTGAGATCTCATTTTTCCCTGTTGGTCTGAAGGTTTGAAGTAACTTAATGACACAGAAAGCGATGGAAAGTAGAGGAAACGCTGGAATGGAGACACGGTGGGATATGAGATGGGCTGGTCCTGTATGTTCTCTCTTAACGCCTTCCCTTGTTTCTTCTTTCAACATTCAGAAAAAGTTATACTCTACGGCTACAATGTTATTCGTGGTCTGAAAAGTTGCACTTTCTTGTCAGTTGAAACAATATTGTAGGCTAGATTAGAATAGCATACTATTTAAAAGAATTTAGTAAAATTTTTAATTTAATTAATATTTCCCCACATTGTTTTAGAAATCTGGATTTTCACATTTGAGACTTTTTCAACTTTATACTATCCAGGGCCTGCCTTAACTTCAACAAAGTTACTAAACTTGAGGGTGAATTGGGGGTGAGGGGTTTGAGGAAAGACGAAGGAGAGAGAAACAGAGAAACTGGAACTTGTACCTGAAATAACAGAAACTAGTAAGGGCAGGGAAAGTTGTACTTGGGTTATCTACACAGTTTCATTGAAGAGGAATGGAGGAAGTTACAGGACCAAAAAATATATATTTATCTTGATTCTTGAAATTCCTGAAAATGATTTTTTATATTTTTCTTTTGAAGTATTACCTCTTGGTCTCATGAAACAAATGTTTATTCCATTTCAATTCAATCAACAGCACAGAGTTACATTTTTAAAATTAGGAAGAATGCAAGTTCTCCCAAGAGACATAAGATAGTCAAGTCAATTAATTTAACAAATAATTATAAACATATTATATGCCAGGTACTCTGTTACAGCAATTGAATAAATCAGACACTGTCCTTGCCTTCACAGAGCTTATAGATTAGCAAGAAAGAGGTTCAACAAGTGAGAGGGATGTGGACGAGGGGAGAATACTGGGTGCCATGGAGGAAGCAAAAATAAAACAAGAGAACTGACCTAGTCTAGGGAGTCCAACAATAGAGACCTCACTTTGGATGAAATTTTCTGGAACAAATGAAGCTGAGTACTTGCTGAAGGCTAAGTCTCTGAAAGAAAGTAAAGAGGCAGAGAAAGAGGTAATGATCTTGAAGATGAATTTCAGCTGCCTAATCCATATGTACCTTGAGTAGCACAAACTATTCTAGAAATGAACAGTATTTTAATTTAGCCTTACTTTAATAAGGTTAAAAAACAAAGACTATGTTAAATTTCAGCACCAAAACACGGACTATTTACATTTCTTTATATTTTTCAGTTCCTTAGCTGATTTCCTATAAACCTCTTTAATTTTTTCTATATTAAGAAATATAGATTCACTTCGCAGTGAAGATGGCATCGGGCAGTGGGACAAAAAACTTGGACTTTCGCCGAAAGTGGGACAAAGATGAATATGAGAAGCTCGCCGAGAAGAAGCTCACGAAAGAGAGAGAAAAGAAGGATGGAAAACCAGTGCAGCCAGTCACGCGAGAGCTTCTCCAGCATCGGGACTCCAAGGTGGACCTGGAATCCAAACTTGGGAAGACAATCGTCATTACCAAGACCACCCCACAGTCTGAGATGGGAGGATACTATTGCAATGTCTGTGACTGTGTGGTGAAAGACTCCATCAACTTCCTGGATCACAGTAATGGAAAGAAACATCAGCGAAACCTGGGCATGTCTATGCGTGTGGAATGTTCCACTTTGGATCAGGTGAAGAAACGTTTTGAAGTCAACAAGAAGGAGATGGAAGAGAAGCAGAAGGATTATGACTTTGAGGAAAGGATGAAGGAACTCAGAGAAGAGGAGGAAAAAGCCAAAACCTACAAGAAAGAGAAACAGAAGGAGAAGAAAAGGAGGGCGGAGGAGGACTTGACATTGGAGGAGGAAGGTGAGATGACAGCTGTGATGGGCTTCTCTGGCTTCGGTTCCACCAAGAAGAGTTACTGAGGCTTTCTATGCTTGGCTTTTTGCCAGGCCTAACTTTGTGTGTGTGGGCGTCATCTTTCGGGAGGTACTGGGGAAAGTCCTTAAGAGTGGCAGCCGGGAGGGCTAGAGGGTGGGTGTTTGTGGTTTCCCTCTACCTTGGGAGAGAGCACAGGATGCAACGGAGTGTGCTGTGGCATGTTCCTTCAGCCTCAGTATTTCACTGGAGACAGAGGACCTCTGATCATCTGAGTTCCCAATAAAGAAAAACCACCTCTTCTGAGGCTGCTTTCCCGAAAAAAAAAAAAGAAGTATATATCAATTCTCATATATCTGCTTTCTAGAGTTATTTTTATTTAGCTAATGTAACAAACTCAAGGGAAGTTTGTTCTAATCAGAAATTCTGTCACCATTGGCCCAATGTCCATCTGCATCCTAAGAAATCATAGCACTGTCTCAATAGGCTCTGAGTCTTGTTTAGTTTTACACAATCACCACAACTCTCGCCTTTTTATCCTCCAGGAACTGTATTTACCCCTTGACGTTATTTGTAACCAAAAAGCCTCCTCCAAGGGGGAAAACGTAAAGAAAAAGCATTGGTCAGAGAATTCAGTATACAGAGTATTGGAGTGGGGAGGGGTTGAAGAGTCTTCATACACACCTGCCAGACTTGGTATGAGGGATTACTAAATTAGGAGGAGAAAGGGAATAATGAATTATGTTCAAGTATCTCAACATGAAGAAAAAGGAAGTACATTCCAGCCTCAAAAAACAGTGGGTCCGGTCTCCCCTGGTGGCGCAGTGGTTGAGAGTCCGCCTGCCAATGCAGGGGACACGGGTTCGTGCCCCGGTCCGGAAGATCCCACATGCCGCGGAGCGGCTGGGCCCGTGAGCCATGGCCGCTGAGCCTGCGCGTCCGGAGCCTGTGCTCCGCAACGGGAGAGGCTACAACAGTGAGAGGCCCGCGTACCGAGAAAAAAACAAAAAAAACAAAGAACCGTGGGTCCTTTTTTTGTGGGCAGGGGGAGAATGCAGATTATAATTTTTACACAGAGAAACTATTTCAGGCATAGTGTCTATAATCTAAAACACATCATATTCCATTGTATCCAAAATAATAGAAATCAGAGCTTAGGGGAGAGCAGAAGACCAAGAATCCACAGTGTGATCCATCCCTGGTTCCACCTCCAAACACCTTCAGTAAAGTCACTAAACTTGGGGCTGAGAGGAGAGAGAGAAAGAAATGAGAGTTCATAAAAATAGACAGTGCCCTGAACACCAGATCAACTGGAACCTCAGAGTTTTAATAATAGACAATGATAAGGGCAATGAAACTTGTACTTGGAGTTTGCTGGTATCATGGAACATCATCCAGACTGTCCGAGCCAACCCACGCCGTACAATTTCTCTGAATAAGAAAAGGATTTCAGTTAAGGACAAATGTTTTCTAGACACCCATGAAATCGCGGCTTCTCCTACTTAAAAGTGGAGTGGGGAATAGGCCACTATCTTGAAACCACATAACTCACAAATGCCCCCCATCCTTTAAAATGTTCCAAATGTACAATCTGATACCACATTTCTGACTAGCCACACTTTTAAAAGAACCACATCTTCAAATGCTAAAAGATAATCCCGAAAAGAAACAACAGATGTAAAAGTTGCAAACCCTGAGCCAACTTGTTAAAATATTTTCACAGCTAAGTATAGAAAAAGAGAACATAATTTTCAATTTACTGCCACAGTTTATTTTATGCCATGTGATTTATAACTGACTTGCTGTGTTTTGCATCTAGGTTAATCCTGTTTGCATCCTTAGATCCAAGATAAAAGAAACCATCTTTGGAATTTTTTTTCTAATATAAGCAGTTGGAATTTTAATGGAGGCATGAATTGATAGCAGGATTGGTTTCAGTCTGAATTGTAAAGGGCTCAGCTGTGTCCAGAAATAAACTCAGAAAGATGCAATATACAATGTAATACATTTAGTTAGTACATTATGAGCAAGGAATATAATTATAGTTTCACATTTCTATATCCCTTGAGCTACTAGTGGTTTACCATCCCTAAATTGCTCACTATTTACTCATTCATTTTTACTATGAGGGACCCATTTAGCAAATTAGTACTCTAGTGCACTAAATGGGCCCCAGGTGGCCAAACAGAATTCATATGTTCCCTACTCACTGACAGGATGAGACCGTCTCAGCTCTCTAAGTCCTCTCCCTTCCCTCACAAACTTATCATCTGAACTCTATCAAGAGCTTAGATTACCACTATCATTTTAGGTAGTCTATTTTATAGATATGGCTTGATAACTTTTCAGATTTTAGTGCACACTTTTTTATCCTGTAATTCTTTGTCTCTTTCTCATTCCTCACATCCTGCCTCACAGAAATAAACGAGATGTGTTTGTCATCACAGCAATGAAGTATTAGACCAAAAAATAGAGGCCATGTAATCCCACCACTTCCAGTAACAATATAAATTACCTGGAACATTCATTCAACAAGTATTTATTAAGCTTTTATATGTAGGCACCATTTACACTCAGTAAATAGTAGAGACAAAAATACCTGCCCTAAGAAAGCTTACATATAGGCATTGTCATTTTTTTTTTAAGCTTTAGTTAAAATTGACCTACTTTCTTCTTTCGTATAGATGGTTCTTGTTTCAGGCAAATGGGATATATGAAAATCTAGCTAGGGACTTCCCTGGTGGTGCAGTGGTTAAGAATCCACCTGCCAATGCAGGGAATACAGGTTCGATCCCTGGTCCAGGAAGATCCCACATGCCACGTAGCAACTAAGCCCGTGTGCCACAACTACTGAGCCTGTGCTCTAGAACCCGTGAGCCACAGCTGTTGAGCCCATGAGCCACAACTACTGAAGCCCACGCGCCTAGAGCCCATGCTCTGCAACAAGAGAAGCCACCACAATGAGAAGCCCGCCACTGCAACAAAGAGTAGCCCCTGCTCTCTGCAACTAGAGAAAGCCTGCACTCAGCAAAGAAGACCCAACGCAGCCAAAAATTAAAATTAATTAATTTTAAAACAAAAGAAAATCTAGGTATGTAAATTATATATTAGGCTATAAATATTTCTTTGTTCTTTCTCTTATATGAATTCATCATAAAATTGTTTTAAATATTGGGCTCCTATAATATTAATACATTTAAAATATATTAATTGTAAAAACTGACTTATGCCCAGCTTTTAGAAATCCATTTTGGGTTCTAACAAGTGCCTTATACCTCTTTCCATCAAGATTCATGTCTAACAAATATCCTTCCTACATCATCCCAAAGCATTTCCCCCTGAATCTTCCATGACTAAAAATAGAAAAGTATCCTCCAGATGACTCCCCTATACTTATAGTCATTAATTACACCCTGAAGAATCAGCGTGGGAATTCTCTTTTTTGCCCCAAAATAGATTGTAGGAGACACACTTAACCCCTAGAAATCCTGCTCTTTTCCCCTCTATTTCCCACCAAATCCACTGGGCTGGACTCCTAGATATATTTGTTTCTTAGGGCTTCCATAACAAAGTACCATGAACTGGATGGCTCAAACAACAGAAATTTATTTTCTCAAAGTCTGAAGGCTGAAGTCCAAAATCAAGGTGTTGGCAGGACCATGCTCCCTCTGAAGGCTGAGGGTTGGGTGGAGGGATCCTTTCTTGCCTGGTCCAGTTTCTGGTAGTTGCCAGCATTCCTTATCTTGGAGCTGCATTACTGCAATCTCTTCCCTCTGGTGTCTGAGATCACAAGGCCTTCTCCCTGTGTCTCTGTGTCCAAATATCCCTCTTCTTATAAGGATACCAGTCTTTGGATCAGGGCCCACTCTAATCCATTATGATCTCACCTTAACTTGATTGAATCTGCAAAGACCCTATTTCCAAATAAGGTCATATTCTGGCGTTCCAGGTAGATGCCAATGTTGGGGGGACACTCCATCCAGTACACTAGATGTCTTGTATCGCTACGCAAGAGTGACAATCTGAAATTTATCAGACTTCTAGATTTCAGGGATTAGTAAAATTCTTCCCCCCGTCCTGCCTCCCCGAAAAAACTGATGTCCAAACTAAGGTTATTTACTTTTTACTCACTCATCTAAATATTTTTGAGTCTCTGTTTTATGTCAAGCACTATGCTAGGAATTGAGTGTATGATAGTGAATAAAACAGTTGTAAGCACTGCCCTCAAAAACATTTTAAACTATAAATACCATAAAAATACATTTAACGCAGAAAAAGTAGGAAAGACAAATCTCAGCATAAAAGGTTCCCTTTAAATTGAACAAAATTAATTTTATGAAAAACTTTTTACTGTTTTGTTTTTCTTGCCTTACCCCAGATCAAGAAAAATCCCATCTCAAGCCAGTACCACATCTCAGGCTTGGCATTTGGGAATCACAGTGGTAGAGTTTGCAAAGAGGTTCCATCTCTAGTGCTCCTCTGTTCTGTAGCCAGTAATGGATGGTTATGGTAAACACAGAGCTGTGACTTTCAGGAATTTTATAATTTAAAACCATCTGCTGCCAGATGGATCAAAATATTACCAAAAAAATGACCACTGCACCAGTGCCATAGCATATGTATAATCTTACCATACCTCTAGTAAAAATGGGATGCCAGGAAAATCAGGCAGAGGGGATCACGCTCAGGTAGGTATATTAATAGTCAAATATAATGATGGTGACAATGGCAGAATAACATTCTCAGTCTTCTACACATTCCATAGTTTGAAAGGTGGCTTCATGTAATATTTGGAGGAATTTAATAATATATAAGTTTGGAAGTCAGAAAGTCCTCATTATGGTCCTGGTGCTATACTAACTAGTTAACTATGACCTTGGGAAGGCATCTGACCTTCAAGAAGGTGTCAGTTACTGATTTATGAAATGAAGGAGTTGAACTAGTGTCTCTAAAAAATCTCTCCCAGCTCAAAAAACTTCTGATTTTTGGCTGAAGGCAAAATTGTCTAAATTGGAATATTGGCAAATGTTTTCGTTAGTTACAAAGCAGAGGTCTTCACATTTAGATGATATTAATTTGAAATAAGAAGGCTCTCAAGGCTGCTTCTTGCCATTCAAAAGAATTTTTAATGTATTTAAATAACAGCTGGATTATTCTGACATTTAAGAAAACTGCTGGGTTTTCAGTCCTTTGAAATATAAATTTCTCATGAATAGGAGTCAATCCACGACAACGAGATCCACAGCTTCAGATTTCCAAACTCCAGGGTCTTTATCAGTTTTCCCTTTTATGGTCACAAGTGGGTAGAAATCTCATTAGCACAAAGTAAGT